GGATATTATATTAAGGGGAATACTAGCAACCTTTTCTTTAAAGAGAATGGTGACTAGAGAATTATTCTTTTTAATAATTCCATCGCATTACCACGACACTAATTGTCGTTAGAGAATTATTCTTCACTATTAAACAAGAACCGAACAAACGAATACAATTAATGTATTTGAAGCCAACTGAAAGTGTCCCCCTGGCAAGGCATAGTTGGATTGCTTTTATTGTGATGCCAAATCATTGCACCATGACTAAGCCCTGCTACATTTATCAGCAGCTGTATAAAGAGGGGGATTAGTAAAACTTTTGTTTGCTTAAATTTCACAATAAAATTAAAATCCGCATATAAATTTAATTATTTAAGAAAAGGAGTGGGGTTGGAAAACTCCTCTGTTCTTGCATTTTGCAGAGGGATTGATGTATGCATACAATAACAATAGGATAACATGCTGCAGACATGAACTATATACAGAGGATTAACTTTATCGTGGCGTTAACTTACTTGCTTAATTTCTGACCTTGAGATTTGCTCCAAAATATGTCTTTCTCATGACATTTGACTTTCTCCAAGTACAACAGATGAGGAAACTGATCCTCCACCTTTGGAAGTTCTATTTTCATATTACTCAAGTACTTGAGACGCAAGATTTCCACCCTCCACTTACACTCAGTGACAGTCTCCTCCCCTGCATGTTGCAAGCTATCAAGTTCCCCGCCTCTTATATAGAGCTTCTTTAAATTTTTCAGTTCCTTCGGGTTCAGCCATGGCGGTACTTTTCTCAGAGGGATGCCTTGAAGATCCAATTTTTCTAAATCGGGCAGGGACGAGAAATCCATGCACTGGTGGGCAATTTTTCCTCTTAACTCTGGAGAAACCACTGCCCATGATATTTTGAGGCGGCGAAGAGATGAAATTTCCTTCAGAGTTTCAAACTCCTTGTCATGCATTACAGCCTCAGTCCCTATGTATATACTTAGCCGCCTTAGTTTCTTCAACTTGGCAAGATCACCGAGTCTTGAGGGAGTATTTTTCAAATTGGCTATGAGAAAACCTTTAAGTACTTGGAGGGAAGAGAGTTTGCCAATCCCTTTTGGCATGCCTTCTAGCAAGTAACACTCTGATATATCCAAATGAGTGAGCTTCCTCAACGATGAGATATCTGAAGGCAATGTCTCTAAATTGTGGCATGCTCTCAGATCCAGAATTTCAAGGCTGATGATGTTAAAGATACAAGAAGGAATCCTTGTTATTCCTGATATTCCTCGGAGACTAAGATACTTGAAGCTCAAGTAGTGCTGAGCCCCAATACCTTTCAAAAATAATCCTTCATCATCCACTTCAATGTGATGCGTGGGTGAGCTCTGCCACCGTCCCAGCTGAAGAACAACAACTTTCTTCAACTTGCTAAGCCATTCACGTTTGAAGCTAAGATAGTTGCTGTTCACATTGAATACTGTAAACAGATCTTCCTCACCCGGAGAAGTCGGGTTCTGATAAAAAACTAAGCACGCGCGCCTGCAAATTGACGTTTTACAAGATGGCATCCACAGCCAGTCTGAATCAAAGTTGAAGAGTTGGGCGTCCCTGGCCAAGCCTACCAGCATACAACGAATCTAAGGGTGCACCGTGCAACTAGTGGATAAATTAACATTTCCATGTGGTTGAATCAAGCGCTGTTTCATGAGTTTGCCAAAGATTTCTTCTCCTACCTCTTCGGCTGTCTTATCTTGGGTGGCCGTGATGAAGCCCTCCCCAATCCACCAGTAAATTAGAGGCCTTTTCTTTATCACCGACTCCTCAGGGAAGATTGAGAAAGAGAGGAAGCAGAGCCTCAACTCGGTGCCCTCAAGTTGTTCGTAACTGCTCCTCAGATTAGCATGGCACGACTTTCATAAATTCCTTTCTCCACGCCCATTTGTGACAACTCTTTTGATAGCTTCTTAGCTGCTGTTAGACCCGACTCCGGCTGAGACCGATGCGTAAACTCTAAACTGCGCTCAGGGTAACTCGGCATTAAGTTCACTACAGGGATTGAGGCTTTTATTTGGTTGACATTGTCAATCATGCGAGCCAGGAAGCTGGTGATTGCCTCCAGGCCGATGAAAGCATTGCTCTCATCATCTCCCAAGAAAAACTTGTCAACTCGACGTTCTAAGTCAGTGAATTGGTTGAACAGATTGTGCTCCCAAAGCGTAACTCTAGGTAGCAATTTTAAGTCTTCCATTTGTTGAAGACCATCTTCAATCTTTTTGAAGCAACTCAGAACCACTTCCTGATCATCACCTGGATTTATGTTGGCAATGACCTTGGCTTTGGCTTTTCCCAGACGATCCAATAACTTGGGCAGGAACTTCTCTGCATTTCTTGAGGTTGAGGCTGAGGCTGAGGAACTTCTCTGCATTTCTTGAGGTTGAGGCTGAGGCTGAGGAACTTCTCATTTCAGATGCAATTACACTGAAAAGGAGGTAGCCTGTTGCAGATAGATTGAGGGTAGCTGTGGAACTCAAGAGATTGATGCAATCAAACCTATCATGTCTGCCTCTTTATTATTCAAGTTATATCTGTTTACCTCAACAACAACACTCATTCTCTATTTGTTAGATCTAGAACTAACTTACCATTCATTTTTCTTTTTAAAAAAAAATAAAAAAAGATAATAGAATTAACATGAATGTGAAAACCGGTTAAAGCATTTAACAATCACCGTAAGATCATATTTTTTAAAGAAATACAATAATGACAAAAGAAATACAATCTGAGCTCAAAAAAGTAACACTAAAATAAAAAAAGAAAAAGAGAAAGTAAAAAAAAGCTCATTAGGGCACTTCCATCAGTCAAAACCTTGCCATGGCAGGGGGGTAAGGCTGACACTATTCACATGAATAGTGTCCGCCCTTGCAAAAAGTAAGTTGCATTTTCAGCAGTTGCCCGGGCAAAAGGCAAGTACTATTCAATTTTTTGTTTTTTTTTCACAAATTTGTTTACCTAAACAATTAATTTGGACAATATTTTCGGATACAATTTTTGGGTTCGTACTTGTCAATACTTGAGTAAAAAGTGAATAATAGTAGAAGTAGAAGAAAATGTATGAGGATTTGGTGTTGAAAGTGAAGAGTTTTGGGTTTTTTTTTAAAAAAAATTCGATTTTTTGGGTATAGAAAAAAATTACAGAATTTTTGGGTATTTTTTTCAAAAAAATTCGATTTTTTTTCATTTTTTTTATTGCACAAAAATTGGCTGCCGTTGGATTGGAGGAAAAATTCTGATCGGAGAGCCCAGAACGCGACACTTGGCAGAGAGCTGTTGGCGGCACTGTAGCATAGTAGTCCTAGAAGCATAGAACAATGGCAAAAGAAAATATATATTACTCCACACTTAATCTTTTAAGCAATTATCTGATGTTGGCCAATTTTGCGTTAATTTCAACATATGGTTTTGACAAAAGAAAAATATATATTTGATGCTGAGCATGAATAACGTGGGTGAGAGAATCAGTTCAATTTTATAGCTAAATGTTAAAAAGTAATTAAAAGTAATTAATGCATATTTGTACTAGAATAATATAGAAATGTTTTGAAAAATCAAGAAAGATTGAGAGAAAGTAGAAGTTAGAAATATCTATGAACTATGACTAGAGAAATCTAAAATCATGTGAAAAATTGTGGCTAAAAACAACTTTGGAAAAGTCAAACCAAATTTTCCAAAGCATGCTGCTGACATAGCACTCCTATATATGCACTCAAGTAAGAAAAAGAGAGAGAAAAAGGCCAATAAGTCTAGTAAACAATTTCTAGTTGTTGAAGGCCAATAAGCCTAGTCTTGTATAAAGCCTTGTACCCATCTATTCTGGAATAAATAAAAGGGGTTCTTAAATCTAGATCCAAAATGATTAGCTGTCATTGGGTCTAGTCCTCGTGTTTTTGGTTTTAGATGTAGGTCCTTTGACATTTATTACTTTTGTGTCGATTTTACCATTTAAGGTAAATAAGGAAAACACATTGAAAATCTAAATTTAATGCATTATTTCCTTGAAATTGAATTCCAAAATTTGAAATTTGAATTTTTTTTTTCCTTGATAATATTCCTAATATATAGATAAAATACAATTTAATCAATAAAAAGTAAAGACTCACATTTTATACCAATCGATCAGACAAGCATCCACATTAAATTATGTACCTGACATACAGGTAAATAATGTTAATACATACAGGTATATATGTACCTGCCTTACAGGTAAGTGTTTTTTCCTTGAGTTTTCTTAAGCAGTTTTTTCTGGAGGTTCATATTTATATACATACGTACATGTCTTTCATGTAATAGTGTTTTTTCTTTTTTTCCATAGAAATTTTGTATCGAATTTTATCTCAGTTGAGTTTAAAGATCCATACCAAGATATTATATGAGTTCAATTAGCTGGGCTAGAGGGTATAACTACCTAGACTAGAGGTAATTTATGGATTTAATTACCTGGACCATAGGTAATTTATGAGTTTAATTACCTGCATACTGCATACAAGGTGTATGCATAGGTACCTTACCTATTATTAAGGTATGAAGTTTTTATGAACTCTTATTACAAATTTTGATGTCGGTATACCTTGGGAAAATTTCAGAATTCAATAAATAGATTTGCAATTAAATTCAAATCAAATATGATAATTAATATTCTACAAATCAATAACTTACCAATTTTAGGAATTCATAATTTACCTTATTTATGTTTTAGGTGCATAACTGGAATAAAAAATAAAAAAATAAAAAAAAGTAAATATCAATAAATTGAAATAGGCATGTAATCTTATGTGGCACAAAAGTCAAAGAACTTGGATCAACAACAATTTCTGAGTGGATTGCACCCAAAATCTCTCCTCATAATTGGACTTATGCCAAATTTTCTATAAATAAAATCACTTTGTTGCTCACCTTTTCACCCTAAAAACCCAACACTAAAAATATGCAAATGATCGAACTAGAGACATAACCTTTTGTTCCAATAACAGATCCAGGTCCTCTGATCAAAGCGCTGAACAAAGGCCAAGGTGTGGTTACGTGCTCTTCATATTACTCCCCCAGTTTCTGATTAAAATTGCAGTAGATACATAAATATAGTGTGGAAGAATGGCTGGGGATGTTGCTCATCAATTTCTCCAGAATAAGGTCCTGGCATCTCTTAGCGAGACAGAGTCTGAATTATCAGGTGTTGTTCTGATTTCTGATTTGTTAGCAATCAAAGATATTGTAATAGCTATAGATACTCGAAGACTTACGGGAGATTACTACTGTCGCTTTATCTCTGTGCTACTGGACCTCACCGACGCATTGACCAAGTGCCGGGTCTTCTCACATAAGTGGAAGAAGCATAGTCATCACAAGACTCATTTAGTAGTCTTCAACCATTTGGGTTTGAGGAAGATTTGTTTCGTGCTGAAGATGAAGAAGCGGCTGGCTGCAATAAAACGCATCTTCGAGGCTGAGTTTAGGGAATCATCAAGTCGTCCTGATCCTGAAGAGAATTTAAAGAGCAAACTACCTGTATTGGAGACTGAAGTTGCGGGATTTGATGAGCAATTACGGAAGATTAGGGACTTTCTTTTAAAATCATCAAGTCGTCCTGATCCTGAAGAGAATTTAAAGGGCAAACTACCTGTATTGGAGGCTGAAGTTGCTGGATTTTCGGCAGTTGGGATAGTGGGCATGGCAGGCGCGGGTAAGACCACTCTGGTGAGCGAGGTTTTGAGTTCGTGGATGGTGCTAGGTAAATTTTCTCCTATAATTTGGTTATGTTTGTCGAATATAATCAAAGAAAATAAACAAGTAGAAGAAGAAATTGAGGTCAGCATTGTGAAATGTATGCTTAGTAATTTGGACCATGATGCCGTTGCCGACGGAGATGGCATCCTCCAGGAGGAGGAGGAGAAGACAATAAGTAGTAATAATTCTGGTCATCTCCTTGCGCTCTTGGAAAGGCTCAACCAACATTTATCAGGTAAAAGTTATTTGATTGTGTTGGACGATGTGTGCCACATGAACGGTTTCTACTCGGATTTAGGACAACAAATTCAGGTTCAGGAAGGTGATAAGAAAGTTGAGGATCGCTTATCTCACGGATTGCCTAAGGGTAGTGGTGGTGCGGTCATCGTCACTAGTAGGATATCGGAAGTGGTTGAAGCTATGGTGGTACCCGCGGAGGGGTCAGATCAGCATTATAACAGCTTGATTATTCCTCTTGAGACTGGGGACAGAGAAAGGTGCTGGGATATATTTAAAAACACTGTTTTTGGTTATCTTCCTGATTTAGAATATCAACAACATTTGAATACGGTTGAGAGTGAAATTATGGATCTATGTTATGGTCTACCATTTGTCGCTAGGACACTCGCAGAAATCATGTCCCAAAACCCCCAAAATTTAAGGTATTATTCTCAACTTAATTATACATACAGTAGTACTTTAATTACTTACTCCCTTATTTTGGTATCGTCTTTCGAATTATTTACGTACCAATATGAATGTCCCATGCAGGAGGACTTCTCCGCCCTACCGCAAATCTGAGGACTTACCTGATTCCTTCCATATAAAAAAAATCCTCAGTGTTTGTGTTTATTGATATGTACGATAGACAAGAAGGAGAAGAACTCATTGGGAAATTTTGCGACCTCCTTACTGTTGTGAATTAATGACTAACTCACAGCCCTTTTAAGATCTTGTTGTTGATGGACTTTAGACAAAGAACTCAATGATGGATGAGTCTTACACACACACACAGAAATTAACCAAGCACAAATGACACAAGTGTTTATAGAGGTTCAGCAAATTGCCTACATCCTCTTTGGTGATCACCTTGAGAAATTTCACTAATGAAGATATGTTACAACACTACCCTCACAATCTGTTTCTCTCACACCCTTGCTCAACACCTTGATACACTTAGAGAACTCTCTTGCTCTCACCCTTGGCTTTTCTGAAACTCTCACAGAAAAAACTTATTGTTTCCAGCTTTTGCCACTACATATGTTCAACATGCTTTCTCCCTTGTGTTATCTTACTTCATCCCATTACCTACACAGGCCAATGGACAAGAGATAGGATATCTGATTGTCCTCCACGTTCTTTCCTTTTAGTCACCACTTAGACTAAGGGTCAGATAAGGTAGGTAATACAATCCCACTTAGCCACCTCCGCCTCTGAAATCATGTGGAAAGCGATAGCCATCGAAAACACAGTTGAAAACACGTAAGGAAACGTCACAGCACGACTGGAGCGACCGATCGTCAGGAATGGGCGACCGGTCGCCAGAAATTTTTCCTCCAGACTTTGAATCTGCTTCTAAGCGATCGGTCGCAAATGTCTGGCGACCGGTCGCTCGTGCTTCATGCGACCGGTCGCAAAGAACTGGCGACCGGTCGCTCCTTGGTTTAGCTCCAGACCTCGAATCTGCCAGAAAACGACCGGTCGCAACTTCCCAGCGACCGGTCGCTTTTAGGCAGTTTCAAATACTCCCTTTGAGCGCCAAAACCTTTGTATCCTTTAGGTGAGCCATTTTTTCCAACACTTACTACAAAGCAGGTATTTTTCTCATTGAACAACACATGCACTTCGATCATATATTATGTGAAATGAAATTTTAACGTAGTTTATGTATAATTAAAGCTCTAATTAACATGCATGGATTTGATTAAAGTTTGTTGTAAATATAATATTGTATTGTTTTCCTTTATTTTCTAGGTTTTTGGTGTACTACTGAAAGATGATAGTTATTTGGGAGAAGCAGATACATATAATAATCCTGAGACGGTGCTAAAGGTTGTTTATGGTACTCTAGAAAAGCTTAAGCAAAGTAATTGTGGTTTTGCTTCTGAAATTCAAAAGAAGATGAGAATTATAGTGAGTAACATGTTAAATTAATACGTATTGCTAAAGCGTAGTCTACACTTTTCTAAATAACATTTTTAATATCTTTTTTTTAATTTGAAATTATATATATATTTCTTTTATCTCAGGTTGTTGGCGGGGATAATGTTGTTAACTGGATTTTGGGAGTTATCTGTGATCTTAAATTGCCAGAGTCACCCTCCATTGCTCCGGTACCAGTATATACTTGTGAATATTATCGAATCGGTACTTCATTTGGATGGGTAGGGCGTTTAGCATTTATATTTAATTCTTTTTAATTGGCAACTATTTAATATTGAAACGTCTTTTTAATAACAATATTAAACAATGATAATATATACATGCAAAAAATAATTGACCAACATATCTAATACAAGATAGGTAAATAGATAGATACATACTTCAGTTAAAAAAATAGGTACAATAATTTACCTACATATTAGATAGATAATTCGAAGAATTTATAAACTGTATTAGGTACATTATCATATTATTTCATAATAGGAATATTATTACATTATCGTATTAGATAGTCAATTCGAAGAATTTATAAATTTGTATTAGGTACATTATTCTATTATTTCATAATAGGTACAATTTTTATAGATAGATAATTATTAGATGACAAATATAAATAATTTGTGTAAGACACATTGGAATATTTGTGTGTGGTGTGCATTACTTAGCCAAAAATATATATGAGTATATGCTTTTAAATTTCCATTTTAATTGCAACATGTACATGTATGATTCTGCTGTTACTTACTAGGTTGGCAGGCAATTGATGCATCTCTCTATTTTAATTTATGCATGTTGCCTGCTTGACTACCTCCAGAACGTCAGTTCGAATATATCAGAGCTGCGATCTTCACTTGTTGACGTAGCACGGGCAAAATCGTTGAGAACTGACAGGTATTCAATCGAGTTGTCGTATAGCTAACTCTTTAATTATCTATATGTATTATTATTTTTAAATATAAGCAATAGTCTAAATTACAAAAATAATAATAATAATAATAATAAAGGTTTCTCACACACACATTACTAATTTGGTGCCATGAGAGTTTGAACCTAAGACCATTGGTATGCAAATCAATGTCCTTTTTTCATTAGGGCTAGACCTCATAGAAAATTATATATATGTACTTAATTATATATGTTCATATTATTTCTTTTTAGTTTACATTGAAGTTAACTTTTAATAGTAAGATAACAAGATTTAATATATGTTGCATTAATTTATTGGATTTGAGCTTATTTGTTCTTGCGGGGGTAGGTACTAGATAGGCCTCATCATTTTCTAAATTACCAAAAAAAAAAAAAAAAAAGGTGTTTCTCACACACACATTACTAATTATGTGCTATGAGAGTTTGAACCTAAAACCATCGGTATGCAAGTCAATGTCATTTTTCCTCTAAAGCTAGACCTCATTGACAATTTTATATATATATATATATACGTACTTAATTATATATGTTCATATTATTTCTTTTTAGTTTACATTGAAGTAAACTTTTAATAGTAAGATAACAAGAATTAATGGGTAAATTAATCTGGATTATATATGTTGCATTAATTTATTGTAGTTGTAATCTTATTTATTCTTTTATTGGATTTTCAGCTGGCATTGTTTCATTAGGATGAAACACAGTCAATCTTCTACAAGTCAACAAGGAAAACCATATTCCCTAAACCGAATACCACAATGTTTGCATGAGGTTGGAGATGTGGGAAAAGCGGTAAGAATTGCTCCCTTTTTATTTTTTTTATATATATATTTCATAATCTCCTATCTCCATTCTCAATGGACCTATCACTTCACTTTTATGATATATATCATGATCTCCCTTTTCTTGCAATTAGTGTCTTCATTCATTCTTATCTCTCCTTCCTTCTTACCACTTCTTATCTTAAGATAATATTAATTCCTCAATTCTTATACATTTCTTAGGACAATCCAACATTCTCCGGACGATTTTGGTACTACTTCATGTTGACTGGTAAAGAATTTCATCCTTGTTTAAACTTTAATTAATGGGTTTTTTTTAACACTTTTCGACACACACTATAGAACGTTGGATGTTAGCATTTTGCATGGCTCAAATTGCATCTCACTTACATTTAGTTTTATAAACATGAGTCAAAGTTTCATTCAAAGTTTCCATAATTTTCTAACAATTTCTATTTTTTTTTTCATATTTTCGTCGGAATTTCTACATTTGGGAACTACTAATATTTTCGAAATGGCCGATATTTAAGTCCAAGATTATTTTTCAAGGTATTTATTGGCAGAGCTTCATGCTTTCATCCAAGCTAAATTATTCATCATCTTGTTATAAATAACCCTGTATGCATATGAAATTACTAATTATTGGTATCCAATCCTGGTAATTTGATATTAAATAGACTTATTTTCACAAACAGTCTTTGAGGTTCACCAAGTTATTATCTTTGGTCTTTTATATAGGGGTGGGCATAAAAACCGATGAACCGATCAAACCGAACGAACCGAACCAAATTGAACCGAAAAAGGGTATTTTTTGACTGAACCGAAAAAGTCAAACTTGGACCTGAACCGAACCGAAGGTCCACGGTTCGGCTCTCGGGTCTAATTTTTTCAGAACCGGAGGACCTGAACCGAACCGGTACATAATTAAATAAATAAATAAATCTATATATATTACACATGGCGTCGTGTGATTGGTCAAAAATATATTCATGTGAGACTGCTTGCAGCAGATCCCTCACCTTTTTTTTTTCCAGTAACCCTCCTCACTTCTCTTTCACTCAGTCTTCTCTTCTCTCTTCTGTTTTAATTTTTCGTTTTGTTTTTGACCTAAGACTAAGAGGCTGCGGCGCGCCTCTCTCTCTCTCGACCCACCTCAGATCTCCGATCCTCTCACTCTCAGTCGATCAGCCACCGCGCCGCCTCCATCACTGCACGCAGGTCAGCTTCTCTCTCTCTCTCTCTCTCTCTCTCTCTCTCTTATCTGTTCTATTTTTTTTGTGAAACTTTGGGGTTAAAGTGATGGTGATGATCTCCTGTTTGGGGTGGTCTCAGAGAGAGAGGCAAGATTGATGTCTTTCCAAACCTCTTCCATGGTTCTTGACTGTACTGTATATGTGAATGACTCAAAAAACTCCCGTATGCCTCATGGAAGTGCAAAGAGCCAAACCTGAGAAATAGACATTCTAAATCTAAACCAGTAGTTAGCATTTTTCTCTCACTAAAACAAAGTACAATATAATATTGCATTGAAAACTGCTTTCTTTCTTCTCTATCTTCCCTGCAGAGATAAGGTTTGGTCTGTTGTACTTTCTTGGTGGTTCTTATTTGATTTCCATTACTTGGTATTTCACTTGTAAGTGTTCCTAAAATTCTGCAGAGTTTTGTTCTTGGTCAACAGCTGGGTGTAAAAAAATTCATTACCAGTGCTTCAAATTTTGAAAATCAGCTTGTTAATATTGGATATAGTTCTAAACTATTAATTTGTCTAGTGCTATGTTTATGGTGCATAAATTAATAATTGGCTTTGGGCTTTCGGTGGTTTGGTCAAAAGGCTTGTACTTTGGGATTGAATTCAATATTGGGTAACTGAAACCTTTTTCATAAGACTGCTTTGTGTGAGTATTGATTCTGAACAATTTTGGGTAGAAGTACTGCCTTTTTGACAACCTTCTTTTGATATTTCTTTGATCTCTGTTTATATTTTGTTCATAACCTAACCCTATTTTTGTTTTCATTCACAGTTGTTTAGCATCTCTGCTGCTGATTTGTTTATGGTGAAACTTTGTGTTAATTCTTTTAAGTGTTATGTA